TGTAGCAGACAGGGCTGTAAGCCTCCTCAGGTGTGAACTCATTTCATCCTCATGACAACCCATGGGGGGATACTATTACTGTCCCTATTTTAAGTGAGGAAACTGAGACCTGCGGAGGTCTGTGAACCCCACCCGCCCAGCTCCAAAGCCCAGAGCCTGTTTCTCTCTTACGGTGTAAGTAGGTACTTAGGAATTGGTAGCTGCTGTGATGATCATTTTGAAATTATTTTCCTTTGATAATAGCCTCAACAGCGTTAACTCGGAAACTTGCCTGGCACTTTTCATGTCTAGAAGCTTTCTCTGAGGGTGCTCCTCGAGACAGAAGCCATCTGTCCAATAGAGAGATTGCAGCCCAGAGAAGCAGCCACACTCTGGTGCAGGGCAGAGCTTGAGGCCCCTTCTGAGGTGTTGCTCTGTGGCGTCTGAGGCCGTCTCCCACCAGGCTGGAGGAAGCTGGAGGCCAGGCCCCTGGTGAGAGGCTCCCCCTGGCCCCTGGGTTTGGCTGCAGCTCTGGTGTTCTAGACACCAGCCAGGCTGGTCCTCTTCTGGACTGTGGAAAGGGCGCAGGGGCACCCCGCCCACTCTGCCTCCTGGGTAGGGGGCCTTCACAGGGAAGGAGCATGAGTTCACAGCTGTAATTTAGACAGGGCATGTGGTCTGTCCCCAACTCACTCCAGCAGCAGGTCATCTGTAAAATTGCAGCATGAAAATAGCGCAGTCATTACCCGCCACAGGGCCAAAAATAACCAGGACCGGAACAGGACTGTGCACTCAGGCCTGTATTTGCCCAGGGGCCCCTGGGAGCTCCCAGAACTTCTCCTGGGAAGTAGCGTGTGGCTGGTGAATGGGGCATGTGGCAGCGAACGCTCCAAATATGACTTTGTTGAATGCTCCCTGGTGCTGGTTTCTGTGGGGAAGGTGCGGGACAGGAGACCTTATACCTCTGTGGAGAGGTGATCACATGTGCAGAACCACAGGAGAAAGGACAGGGCTTCCTAGGGGGAAAGCTGGGCTTGACCAAGGGACAGGAATACACCTCTTCCATACCAGGCTCTGGGGAGGCAAACATGACTGGCAGGTCCTTTGAGGGAAAGATGTGTGCAGGTGGCACTTGGTAGCCCATGGTGTGGCTTTGGGAGGAGGAGAAGGAGATTTGTGCTCAACAAAGGCTCCCTCAACCCTGGACAGGAGAGTGCCCCATCAGAAGGCGCTCCGAGCACTGTTGTGGGCCTGGCCCGCTGCTGAGAGCATTTTATCTTATTATCTCATTTTATCACCTTATCCAAGGGTCAAGACAATCCTGTGAGCCAGGAACTATTGTTTTCCCCATTATTATTATTTTTTTGAGTCAGGGTCTCACTGTCGCCCAGGCTGGAGTGCAGTGGCATGCTCATGGCCACTGTAGCCTCAACCTGCTGGGTTCAGGCGATCTTTCACTTCAGCCTTCCAAATAGCTGGAACTATAGGTATACACCATCATGCTCAGCTAATTTTTTAAAAAATTTATTTATTGTAGCGACGAGGTCTCACCATGTTGCCCAGGTTGGTATCGAGCCAGTGGTTTCAGGCAGTCCTCTCACCTCAACCTCCCAAAGTGCTGGGATTACAGGTGTGAGCCACTGTACCCGGCTGTTTTCCCCATTTTAAAGGTGAGAAAACTGAAGCTCAGGGAAGGTAGTTAACTCAGGCTTGAAGCATCAGAACTGGTATTCTAGGACTAAAGTCCTTGCTCTTAGCCACGAGGCTAGGTTACCCCAAAAAAGACTTCCTGGAAGAGGCCAAATGTGTGGCATTTGAACAAGCATAGGGAAGAAGGCATTTCGGACAGAGGGAGCTGTTTGAGCTAAAGCACAGAAGTTAGGAAGTAAATGTTCCATTCTGAGGACAGAGCTCTGCATGGTTGGCGTGTGTGTGGTGTGTGTGTGTGAGCATATGTAGGGGTGTCGTGGGAGAGGAGACTTGGGGAGCTTAAATTCCCCGACCGTCACTGTGGGGATCACCTGTAGTGCACAGGGGTTCTGACTAGCCATGTGACCTTACACAGGTCTCATCCCTATCTGGGCCTCATTTGCATCATCTGTCCAGTGACATCTGTCCAGTGACAGGGGTTTGGGCTGAGGTCTCTGAGGCTGATGAGTGGCACCTGGTCTGTAAGGAGGAGGGAGCATAGGAGAAGGGTCGGGCCAGGAAGGAGGAATGCAGAAAAATGCCAAACATCTCAGAGGTCATGGAGGACTAGGGAATGTTTTGACAGCAGAGAGATCACCCGTGACCTTGGCAGGCTGTGGTTCTTTGGAATGGAGGGAGCGGAAGTGGCTTTGGAAAGGGGCCAGGAAAGGGCTGAACTGGAGGAAATGGGAGAGTGGGGACACGAAAAGAGGGTGTTTACTGGAGAGCAAGAATAGATAATGAGATGATCAATCCCTTGATGAATTGGTATTGCCTGCCTGGGGCCTTGTGCTGAGAAACAATCTGAGAGAAATAGAGCTTCAATTGATTAGCAATGCCTGCCAAGGACACAGGATCAGGCATGGCAGGCAGAATGTCGTTGGCCATCCTCACTTAGATGGGTCTCAGGTTGAAAGTGGTGGTGTGGGTATCTTGGCTTGCAGAGGGAAAACCTCAGGTGTTAGGAATACCTAACTCCAGGTGGGAAGAAATACCTCCAGCTCCAAGGACCTCTCCCTCTCTCCCTGACCTTCTGCTAGAACGAAGGTAGTTTGCTGCATGATAAGGTAATATGGTCTCATGGTCAGGAGCTTGGGCTTTGGGGTCAGTCCTCTGAGCCTCAGTTTCCTCATCTGTAAAATGAGAATGAAAGAATACCAGATGCAAGGTGGCTGTGCGTATCAGAGGTAATAGTAATAACTTTGTTATTATTGTGTTTTTGCCACATGATGGCTGTTTTTCCCTGACAATGGTGCTGTTACTCTTGGTTTGAGAGCAGGGCCTGTGTCTGAGTTGCTCCAGGGCCCTATTGCCCAACCCAAGACTAGGGACACTTCGGGGACTTTCTGAGTCTTTTTGGAGGCTCCAGGGGAATAGGCTCATGGTTGATGGGTCAGAGGATGGGGTCACTTTGGGCTTTGAGGTTCTCTCAGTGGGGTCCCGGCCTCATGCTGGGTTGGAGGCCCAGGGATGAAGGCTGGAGGTCAGTGGGCCAGAGGCCAGAGCTGGGGGCAGGGTTGTCCATGTCATTTCATCACTCGGCAAATATCGAACACCAGCTCATGCCAGGTTCTGGGTGACCAGTCAACAAATCTCTGCTAAAGGACTGGGGGAACTGGGTACACCTCTAAGTTCTTGTATGACCGTCCCCTACCCCCAGCATATACAGACTTTCTGATGAGAAATAGTCACAGAGGGACAGTGGCTTACTTAAGACAAATTCAGGGATATGTGGGTGTACGAGGCTCCTCCTGGCTGGAGACAGGAGACAGAGCCCCTGGAGGCCCAGGAGCTAGGAGGGACAGACAGGACCTGGACTGGGTAGGGGACCTAGCAGTACCACCTGGGCCCTGGGTTTCTACTCCAGACGGGGTAGGAACCATCGAGTCAGGCTGAACCTCGTACCCCCGGGGAGCCCACAGCCCTATCAGAGCCTCAGCTGCCCTGGAACCAGTGATACCCAGTCCTGACCTTTCTTCCTATGGCTTTTTCATCAGAGCCAGTGAGGAAGGGGCCCAGGAGGAGATGGGGGGGCACACAGAACGTCTCCCAGAGGATAGGTTAGGGAAACTGGCCCTGGCTACCTCTCTGGTGGCCCCTGGAAGCTGATTCCTCTCTGGAGCCTTCTCTCTCTTTAACAAGATTATGTGTGAAGCTGAAGAGCATTTTTCCCTCTGTAAAACGAATACAGTCATAATGAATACCTCTACTGTGCCGAATTTCCAAAGACCCCAAAAGGGAAGGCCCTGTGCCCAAGAGGCCGAAGAAATGACCCAGAGACAACAGATGAGACATGGGGTTTATTCAGGAACTTATAGGGAAAGTGGTCTAGGAGAGGCTGGCTGGACAGGAAAATTCTGCTCCCACTTGTAAAAGGCACATGGGTTATATAGCATCTTACATAGGGTGAATGTGGGGTTCAGTGTGAAAAGGGAGGGTCTCCAGTGCACAGGTGCAGGGTGAGAAAGTTGGGCGTAACCCGCAGCTGTCCATTCACCCTAGTGATGGGGGCTTGGGAGAGTCCCTCAAGACCTCCCCTCCTGACCTGGCTCCAGGCTGAGTGATGGTGCCTTTGGGCCTCAGCTCCTGTGAGCAGCCCTGGGGATGCTCAGAACCCCGTGAGGACTGCATCTGCCTCTTCAGGGCCTTCTCCTGCGTGGGCGCTCTTTCAAGCTGTCCCTCCTGGTCTGTTTCCTGCTCAGAGTGCCAGCTCATCCCCTCATGACCCAGCCTTCCTGACATTAGTTGTCACCAGCCTGGACATCATAGCAAGACCTTGTCTCTATAAAAACAACAAAAAAACAAAAACAAAAACCAAGAAGTTAGCCAGATATGAGGCATGTCCCTGAAATTCCAGCTACTTGGGAGGCTGAGGCGGAAGGATTGCCTAAGTCTAGGAGGTTGAGACTGCAGTGAACCATGATTATGTCACTGCATTCCAGCCTGGGCAACAGAGTGAGACCCTGGCTTAAAAAAAAAAAAAAAAAAATGTATGGGCTCTGGCCTTGGAAGTGTGACTGCAGCCTTAGCTCCTGCACTGACTGGCTCTGTGGACTTGGTCATGTGGTTCAGCCACCCTGGGCCTCTGTGTGTCTGGCTGTCAGTGTGTATGATGAAGTTGTCTACCTCATGGGTTCTTGTGAGGATTAACGAGAATGTACGTAGAGCTCGTTACCACAGTGCTTGGTATACCCTGGAACAGGTTAGCCCTTTATTGCATGTGAAGATAATGGAGGGTGGCCCTAGTGCCCTTGCTGGGATTCCCTGGGGGATGGAGCTGGTGCCCACCGGTGGTGCTGGTCTCTATCTTGCTGTGATGTCCCAGGCTCTAATATCTGTCCTGCCCCCCAGAGCTGCCTGAGAACTGGACAGACACGCGGGAGACTCTGCTCGAGGGGATGCTCTTCAGCCTCAAGTACCTGGGCATGACGCTGGTGGAGCAGCCCAAGGGTGAGGAGCTGTCGGCCGCTGCCGTCAAGAGGATCGTAGCAACTGTGAGCAACCCTGTCAGGAGGGGGCAGGGGTGCCAGGGGCCAGCTCCTTCGGGGTGCCCCTCGTTCCACTGGTTCCTCCAGTTAGTTGTGACTGAACCTGGCCCTGGTGTCCAGCTTGGGGCTTTGGTAGAGGGGAGCCATTGGACTCTCAGGGTCATGGTCTGTGGCTTCCTCCAGTCACTGTGGCCTCTTCCAGCCTCCCCTGCCCCAGTTTAGGCTCCTGCCTAAATGTTAATGACTTATTAACGCCAGGGACAGAGAAGGTTGCTGTTATTCGACCACTTGCCCAATGACCTGAGAGGCATGGCGCCCACCGAGACTGGATTTTCCCCTCCCTAGCTTCAAGGGAGCAAGTCCACTTCCCTGAATGCCTCGGACCCATCAACTCAGGCCCCAGCAGGCACATCGGATGGGCTGGAGCCATCCTGTGGGTTTGTGATAGCCCACTCAGTGCTGCTTCTGTGGTCCCTCCTGGTTGTGTGTCCCTGGGCAAGTCCCTTGGCCTACTTGAGCCCCCCTCCTGGGAAGGAGGAGGTCGACTCAAGATCCAGTGCTCGGCAAACAGCGGGTGCTCAGTGAGCGGCAGTTGTTGCTCTGTTTTCATCACCAGAGGGTGCTGGCTGGGTGGCCTTCCCAGGCACTGCCTGTCACCTGAGCTGAGACGGATCACCCACGAGGGTAGGTCCCGAGTAGGCAGGCAGGTTCCTCTAACTCACATCTGTCCCCAAGGCTAAGGCCAGTGGGAAGAAGCTGCAGAAGGTGACCCTCAAGGTGTCACCACGGGGAATCATCCTGACTGACAATGTCACCAACCAGCTCATCGAGAACGTGTCCATTTACAGGTATGCTCGGCATGGGGGCCATAGCCACTTGGCCACTGGGGGTGGCGACTGGAGTGTCCTGAGCCCAAGCTCTCCCCCTTCCTATCCGGGTGACCTTGGAGCCTCAGTTTCCTCATCTGTAAAATGGAGGTGGGAACAGATCCCGCCTCTAGAGCCGTTAGGGAATACTGAGTGCCCAGCGCCGGCTCACAGCGAGCACTTGGTTAATACCACCAGTTGTAGGGACTGCTGATGCCCAGCCCCCAGCTTGCTGTTGAATCAGACTTGGGAGAGAATGGCAGATCTGTCTTTTCCTTCCGCCGTGAATGCAGCAGCCCAGCTCTGGACATCTGGCCAGGATCCCAGGGAGACTTCAGGTGGGGGCTGAGGCCAGAGTGTAGATAGTCTCTCTAAGGTTCCCTAGCCCAGGGAGGCAGTGCTCAGCCCTTGGAGCCTCTGACTACCCCCATCTCGTTCTTGATTGGTCAGTTGGAAGATTTATAAGCTGGAAGGGACAGCCCGGGTCCATCTTACAGATGGAGAAGCTGAGGCCAGAGAGGATCCTGCCCAAGGCTGCAGGGTGAGGTAGTGGCTGAACTGGGGACAGGACACCTGTCCACGGCTCCGTCCAGGCCCACGTCTCCCAGGTATCCCTCCACCCTCTTGCCATCTCCAGTGGGTGGTTCAGCCTACTGGAGCACAGGCCAGTGGCAGCGGCGGCAGATAGATGTGCATTGGGGGATGGTTCTGAGTTTCTGACTGATGTCTTCCTCTCACCTTCCTGATTCTACCTGCCTGCCTTCAGTTGGCGTTTCCAAGAATAGCAGGATCTAGTTGACTGATACCAAAGCCCAGTGGCATGAAGAGCAGGAGACTGAGCCACCCTGCCCCCCTGCCCCCCGCCCTCTGCCCCCCGCTGCGGGTTTTATGTGGGTTGATGCCTGTGATTGAAGCTGTGGCCAGCTCCTCTCCTGACTGAGACCCTCAGGATGACTGGAGGCAGCAGGGAGGGGTCAGATGAGAGGGAGGATGGGAAGACTGGGCTCGGGGCACCCAGGTGTGATGGCGCCAGGGACAGGGAGGGAATCCCGTGCAGGGGGACTGCTTTGTGTCCCCTCCGGTCCCCTGGGTCTCCTCTTTAGACTCTTGCCCCCACTGCAGTGCTTCGCCCAGCAGGGTCCCAGGAGAATTTGCTGGTGGTCCCAGTCCCCTGAGAGAGAGGCCTCTGAACCTCCTCTGACCTCTGGGCAGGGGCATGGATCAGAGGCGGGCAGCACAAGGGGAGGCCAGGTGAAGACCCTCAGTGGGCAGGGCCTGCTGCCCTTTCCAGCTAGTCCGCACAGATCCTTAGGGGAAAAGATGGCAGTGATGGGCCCTGGAATCCCCAGGTGAGTGCAGGTCCTACCTCTGCTGCTACCTCCATGGTCTCAGGCCTTTAGCCTCAGTTTTCTCATTTGTAAAGTGGAGCTAATAGCAGAATCCATCTCAGAGATTAGTTCTGAGAATTAAATGGACCGAGAGCTAGAAGGTTTTTGGCACGTTGCCTGGTACACCATAAGGGTTTGGTTATTGCTATTTTGGGGTGTGGCTTAGTGTGGGGTCAGGGTAGGGGAAGTGCCCTTCCTTCGGTCTTTACCCCTAGCCCTTCCCGCACGGTCTGGGTCACGCCCCTAGACGGCCCCGGATGCCAGGCCCCAGAGGCCAAGGCTGGTTCTCCAGTGACCACCCTGGAGGACTAGGGAGCAGGCTTTCTGGGACATCCAGCGAGGCAGGCCCCATCCAGCCTGATGGCACTTCCCACCTGTCTTGCAGGATCTCCTACTGCACGGCAGACAAGATGCATGACAAGGTGTTTGCCTACATCGCCCAGAGTCAGCACAGCGAGAGCCTGGAGTGCCACGCCTTCCTCTGCACCAAGCGAAAGATGGTCAGTGGAGGAGGCGGGGGATGGTCTGGCAGGCTTAGTAATCCAGGGAATCCCAGGGGTAGTGAGAGTGGAAGGCACTGAGTAGGGCTGCAGTCAGGCAGAGGAGCTACCAGGCAGCCTGGCTGTGTCCCATGAGGCCCAGGCTCTTCCCCTGTAAGTGCTTTGTGGGGATGAGCTTGCTCTGATCTCCTATCATTAGTATGGTCTGGGGTTGCAGGACTGTCCTCAGAGAGGGCAGATTGGGGTGCTTGGGATGGAAGGCAAAGGCGAGAGCCCCCAGGAGACTGGGCTTACTGTGGCCAGGGTTGGGCTGGAAGTGGCTGTTTTGGTACCTCGTGCTTGTACATTTCAGTGCTGGGTTTCAGGGTATTTCCTTGTTTAGCCCTCACAGCAGCTCTGCGAGGTGGGAGCTATGGCTGTCTCCGTTGTCTTTTTTCTTTTAGTTTCTTTTGTTTGTTTGGAGACAAGTTCTCACTCTGTCATCCGGGCTGTGTTTCCAGGACAGCCCTCAATTACATCTAGTGGGAATGAGTGGGGCCTTGGTGTCACTGGCATCTGTCTTAAGTTAGGGGCAGGGAGGAGCGGGGCCACTGTGAGCCTCGCAGCCTTTGTTTCTGAGGCCCCAGGATCTGAGCAACCTCCCTGTACGATGGTCCCTAACATCTGTTGATATCCACTGGCATCTGTTAACCCTGGGTTGGCAGCCCAGAGCCCTGTTCCCATGCCAAGGGCTCTTGGAGCCAAGGAGACAAGATCTCTCCCTTCATCGCTGTCAAAGAACACATCGAGGACATCATAGTCCTTGAGGCCTCCAGGCTTCCTGCTGCCCATCAGGGCACACTTTAGACATTGTATTGGTTTCCTATTGCTGCTGTGACAAATGACCACACACTTAGTGGCTTAAAGCAACACGGATTTATTCTCTTACAGCCCTGGAGGTAGGCCAGAAGCCTCAGCTAGGTCGGCAGGATTGTGTGTTTGCCCATAGGTCCCGGGGGAGAATCCATTTGCTGTCTTGTCCACCTTCTGGAGGCCACCCGCGGCCTGGGCCTCCCTTGTCTTCAGAGCCGGCATGCGGCACCTCCCAGTGTCCCTCTCGCTTCACCCTGACCGTGCTGCTTCTAACTGTGACCCCCCGCCCCCATGATGACATTTGGGCCCCTTGAGTAATCCAGGGTAATACCATCTCCGGACCTGTAATCACACCTGCAGAGCCCTCTTGCCGTCCAGTGGCATTCACAGGTCCCAGGGCTTAGGATGTGGACATCCTGGGAGGCACAGGTCTGCCTATCACAGGTGTGGGGAAGGAGGCATCGTAGGGATGGACAGACTAAGGGTCTGGTCCTGGCTGGTGTGCTGTGTGACCTGGGATGAGGTCCTGCCCTTCTCTGGGCTGCTTACCTATCAGCTCTGAAAGGCCCCAGTTTATTTAGTACACCGTGTTTCTTTCCTGCAGACTCGGAGTTGCCAGCCCCTCACCCAGGCCCTGAGCTGCAGTGCCTTCCCCCCATGTCAGCCTTGTTTCCACAGTGACTTGCGGTTTTGTCTTTTATAAGGCCACACTTAAAAATACAAGCTCATTGTGTCCCCATTGTCCATCTCTTCCTCCCCACTGACTGGAGCGGGTGCTGGGCAGGGACAGCTGGCCCGCAGCCATTGCTGCAGAGTATAGGCCCTTGGCAGGGGGCGTTCCAAGATGCAGAGGCTTCCTCTGGGGGGTCTGGGAGTAAGAGGAAGACAGTGCTGGCCCAGCCCTTCCAAGGGTGGCCTGGCCTGGCCCCAGAGGACTTTAGACACTCTTGATCAAGTCAGCCTGCCCCGAGACCAAGGGGTCAGTTTGCCTGGCCACTGACAGTGGAGCCCTTCCTGGGAGGCAGAAAGGGCTCCTGCTAGACCCCAGACTCTTCATTTTTCTCAACATGTATCTCTGTGGGGTCAGAGGCTGACGGGCATAGCACAACTCATCCTGCACCCCTACCTCTGCCATCTGGCCTCCCCCTTTGGGGGCCCTGGGGAGCTCTCTCTGAGACAGCCCAGCCCAGTGTGGTGTAAACACATCACCTGATGCTTCAAGCCTCAGCTCAGCCCAAGCTGGCAGCGTGTTGACGGCCTCATGGTCCAACCATGTTTGGACATCCAGATTCTCGGGCTTAGTGGAAGTGTTTTTGGGGGAGGCACAAGGTGAAATGGGTACCTTAGGGTATTACCTGCTGGCAACTGCTACCTTGGATGTCTGATGCTGCCTGTCCTGGGCGAAGCTGAGGAGAGGAGCCCAGCTTTAGTATCTGGAATCCAGGGGGCTTGGTTCCAGGGCAGAGTCATTAAATCTCACTGGAGGTTGGTAAGGCTTCCCAAAGACAGAGATGTTTTTTTCTTTTTTCTTTTTGTGAGTCAGGATCTCACTCTGTCACCCAGGCTGGAGTGTAGTGGCATACTCACAGCCATCACAGCCTCAACCTACTAGGCTCAGGTGATCCTTCCACCTTAGCCTTCTAAGTAGCTAGAACTACAGGCATATGCCACCACTCCTGGCTAATTTTTCTTGATTTATTGTAGACATGAGGTCTTGCCAAGTTTCCCAGGCTGGTCTCAAACCTGTGGGCTCTGGCAATCCTCCCACCTCCACCTCCCAAAGTGCTAGGATTATAGGTGTAAGCCACCACACCCAGCTGATAGAGATGTTTCGAATGGGGCTTTGAAGGCTGAGTAGTGAGTAGGAGTTTGCCAGGCCAAGAGGAAAGGGGTAGGATGGTGAGAGGCAAAGGTGCACACTGTAGGCCTCGCACATGCACAGGCGCAGGGGAACGCAAAACGGGACCACTGGGGCTGGGGACTGAAATGCCAGTGGCCGTGGGGTGGGTGGCAACGTGGCTCAGCTTGCAGGAGGCCTGGGCTTGTGATGCTGAGGAAGCCTATGCCCATGGCATGGCCTGGAGCCTCCATAGCTCACTCTTCCTTGCTGGGCTACCTGAATGAGCTTGAGGACACCCAGGACTGAGGGAAAAGGGGCTTCTGGGTCACCCACCAGTTCAGCTTAACTCTGGGCAGCACAGTCACCCAGCCCCCTCCATCCCCCAGTCCTGCTGGGCACAGCCAAGATAAGGTTCTGTACAAAGAAACATTCTCATCTACCTAGCAGTAGGCCTCCAGGCTCTTAAGGAAGTGGAGGGGCTCAGGGTAGCCGTGCAGGTGCCGGGCCTGGACTGACAGCAAATTGAGTCCCACCCCACCCGATCAGGGTGGGCAGACTCTTTCCCTCACCTGGCTGCTGGCATTCCTGAGTCATCCTTGGACAAGGACTTATATTTCTGGGGCAGCAGGACAGCTATGGAGTGGGCATGTGGCTAGACTTAGTCTGAGTTCCTGGCCCCTTGGAGGGGTTAATAGCCTGGTTACCGGGAACTAGACAAGAACATGAAAAACAGGGCGGGGCAGAGCCTGGGTGGGGTAATAAGACAGACCCACAGGCCAGAGGCACTCCGAAGAGGGTGGACACCAGCCTGGGGAAGCAAGGAAGGAGGCGGCAGACCTGAGCAGTCCCTGCTTCTGATGCTGGTGCCCGGATCCCTGCAGCCGCCACAAGCAGCAAGGCCCACCACCCCCACCCCCAGCCCCTGCCCAGTCTGGGCTTGCAGCCACTTGCACACATTGCTGGTGGGTTAGATCTGCTTTCACTTGCAACCTGGGACTTCAGGGCAAAAGGGTGGGAATGTATGCAAATGAATACGCAGATTTATGCGAAAACAGTGTAAGCTTGTGTCTCCAGATTTCCTGCAGGCGAAAATAATGGTGTTTCCATGTCCCTGCCACACTGGGTGACCAGCCCTTGCTTGGGTGTATAGTGATCTGACTTGGGCTGGTAATTAACCCATATTTTTAGTTCATGGGCAATTCTCAATGGTAACTGGGTCTATTAAACTTGATTCAGACGTGACAGCTTAAATTGTAAACATCTGTGAAGAGTTTCATACTTAATTACCATATTTAAGTTTTGCCATAAAGTGCTCGTACTTCCATCAAAAATGTAAATGATGGAGACATTCAAATGAGATTTTATACTTCGTGAAGTTTAATTGGCATGGATCAGTCAGCTTGTTTAGGAATTTTAAATATTTTTTTAAAAAGAATTTTAAAGGCAGTGGCCACAGATTCGTTTCTCAGTTAAATTGAGTTGTCTGGCAGAGGAAAGGGGCAGGGACTGGGGCTGGTGAGACCCAAACTTGTGCCCTGGAAAGAGGCTGGTGCTTTCTCCTTTCAACCAAGGCATCCAGAAGGATGGCTGGGGGGGTGGTGTCAAGAGGATGTTGCGGAGGGCTTGGCTGGAGTAAGGCCACCCCTTGGGCAAGTGCGGTTCACCCAGCACTGCTGCTACCTCTGGAAGGCTTTGGCCTGCTGGAAGGGGGCAGGGGTGTTCAAGCCGATTTTTACTTTCAGGACACACATGGCCGGGGGGAACACAAGTAGGGAGCTAGTGACGCTTTCGTATGCATGGTGCCCGAGGGTGGTGATTGGGGCTGGAGGAGCCCGAGGCTGGTGACAGGAGACGGGGTGCTGACATCTGAGTTGGGACTGAAGAGGCGCCCCCCCGGGCTGAAAGGCCCAGGCGCGGCCCTTCCCTGCTGGTGGGATGTGGCACCGAATGGTTTTGGCCCCCTGGCACTCACTGGCATCTCGCTCCTGCTAGGGAGTTTATAGAGTCCTATTCCCTTTGTGGCATCCAGTTCTCAACCTTTCCAAGCCGGCCTAGCCCTAACCAGATCCTGATCTTCTCTCCTCTGGTAGTGTGGTTCGCTCAGGCAATGGCTGGCCCCTTCCAGCTCTGGGCCCTTCCAACCTGCCTTTTCTGGTCTCTGGTTCCAAGGGCTAACCTAAGTTGGTGTATGAAATCCTCAGTAATTAGGGAGGGCTCCTTGGAGGAAGTAAGCCTCACTGTCCATTGAATTTAGGGAAGCCTAAAGAGGAAGGAAAAAAGTAGCGGCAAACAGCCATCACACAGGAAGGGCCCTGGAATGAGGGTGAAGACAAAGACCAGGCTGGAGACAGGAAGGTGGGGCTCCAGCTGGCTTGCAAGGGTGTGGCCTCATTACACCTGGGGTGACCAGGGCCTGCCTCTACCCAGCAGGCGTTCAGAGGCACTGCAGGCAAGGAGCGGGTGACCTGGCATCCCCTAGAGTCCAGGCCCTGTTCAGACATGCTCGGCCTGCCCGACACTGCTCCCCTCCCCACCCCGCTTCCTGTTTTCAGGCGCAGGCTGTCACCCTCACCGTAGCCCAGGCCTTCAAAGTCGCCTTTGAGTTTTGGCAGGTGTCCAAGGAAGGTGAGTCTTTTTCACAGAGGTTATGGGTGGGGCGGGGGCGGGAAGGCAGATTAAGGCCCTGAGGTCAGACCTGGACTCCTTCAAGCCTCATCACCTGGCTTGTGATTTTGAGCAGTTCCTGTCACCTCTCTGAGGCTTGGTTTTCCCATCTGAAAAACAGGAACAGCCATCTTCCTCCCCGAGGGTGCTTGTGAGGGTTAAATGACATCTGCAAGGTTTCTTTTCGCCCGGCTGGAGACCTAAAACCGCTTCCTGAGATTGACCATGGCCCACCCCCTGCCCATGGTGTGCTGGGTTCTGTGGCTCTGACCATGTGCCTTGGTGTCCCGCAGAGAAGGAGAAGAGGGAGAAAGCCAGCCAAGAGGGAGCAGATGTCCTGGGAACCCACTGTGACAGCACCCCCTCGCGGAAGAGCTGTGAGTCCTGGCCAGGGAGGGGGGTTCCACTGCCTGGCATTGAGTCTGCCCTTCACCCAGAGGGCCATATTCCTGCCTGGGCTGGGAAAACTCTTGGTTTTTCCTTTTTGTCCCTTGTTAAATAAATAATACATGTTTATTATAGATAAATTAGAACATACAGGTAAAGGGAAAAGATACTTGTCTTGGTCATGTTCTTCCAGATATGTCCCTGTGCAAATATGTAAGCACGTGTATATATCACCATACACTTCACTTCCTGCTGTGTGATCTCTTAAAATGCTCCACAGCAACTGGGAGTATACACGTGTCAGTGTGAGCTGTCAGTAGGGACAGGTTCTTGCCCCATGGCCGCTGCCCAGCTGCTGGGAGGGAAGAGCCAGGGCAGGACTGGGTGACAGGCCATGGTAAGGCCATGTCCGAGGTGGGGGTCAGAGCCAGGACAGCCCAGGAGGCCCAGGATGGAGCTGGTTAAGCTTGTCTCTCACTGACACACCCGACTGATCCCCTCATAGTGGTGGCCACCGGGAACCTGCTAGACCTGGAGGAGACAGCCAAGGCCCCGCTGTCCACGGTCAGTGCTAACACCGCTAACATGGACGAGGCTTCACGGCCTCAAGCCCTGAGCAGCAGTGTTGTCTGGGTGAGTGGTTGTTTGGGACCCCACAGGGATCCATGATTCTCAGCCTGATCTCTGGGAAGCCTAAGGCTGCTCGAGGAGCAAGCCCTGGCACCCTTGACTGGTGGGCCTCTGGAATACCAGACCCAGCCTAGGGACACCCAGGTCCAGACAGGGGATGAACAGTGTCTCCTTTGAGCCCAGGGCTGCATCCCCAACAGGCTTGGCCCCCGGCACAGCTGTCTCCTCACAGTGCCTGGCCTCTTGGCCTGAGCTTCCACAGCTCTACCCACCACCGGCCCAGCCAAAGGCACCCTTGTTCTTGACAGTTTGCTCTGGACACCCCTCCCCCTCTGCAGTCTGAATGAGAGTGGGCAGATCAGCTAGGTCCCTGCCCCTCGTGACTCAGGGCGGGTCCTGACTTCTGTCTCAGCCTTTTCATCCCATCAGTGAGGATGATGACCTCTGCCCACAGAAGCTCCCAGAGGAGCCTGGATTTTTTTAAATTTTAATTCCTCATTTTGAAATAATTTCAGACTATGTTACAAAAATAATACAAAGTATTCCTGTTCACCCTTCACCCAGAATCCCAAATGTTAACATCTTGTGCAACCACATTACAGTGATCACAATCAAGAAATTGACACTGATACCACCATGTTGTATAGTCTATAGGACTTGTCCACATCTCTACACTTCTCCCTGGGTGTCCTTTCTCTGGCCCAGGACCCCTTTCAGAACCACACATTCCTTTTATTTGCCTTCTCTTTAATTGTAAAATCTGAAACATTGAGGGACTTGAAAACCCAACAGGTCCCTCTGACCTTTGGGGTGTCCCTCAGCTGTTCTCTGTGGTCTGGGAACCTTTCCCTGGCCCATCCTCACCTGGAGGCCATGGGGGACCCCACCCATCAGCTTTGACTGAGACTGTGGGAGTTCTGCCGTCACTTGTCCCGCATGAGCATGGACTGTGAGCCTGGCTTTTGGAAAGAGATGAAAACAGGAAAGCTTCCTTCTCCTCCTCTTCCTTTGGAATTTGAAAGCCATCAAAATCATCAGGCCCAGCCCTCTCATTTTACAGAAGGAAAAGCTGAGTTTCAAAGAGGAGCAGTGACTTACCCACGGTCTCACGGGCAGAGCAGGCCATTGAGCGCACCTGGGTCTCCAGACACCCTGGGATGTGCCCTTTCTCTTGTCCCATGTCCCCAGCTTTGGGTCCTTGGGTTGAGATTTGGTGGTGGTAGCCAGGTGGGAGGCCTGCCTGAGCCTGTTCCTCTGGGCGCCCACCCTGTACCTGTGTCCTGCTGTCTGTGGCTTATCTGAGGCTGGGGCAAGTCCTGGCTGTGAGTATGAGCTCCCCACTCAGAGTTCCTGTCTCCTGCTTTATTTCCCCAAGGAGCTGGACGATGGCCTGGATGAAGCGTTTTCAAGGTAAGTTGATGAGGCCCCTATGCTGGACAGGGCTGGTGCACATGGCTGGCCCTGCCTGCCCTTTTCTCCCTGGGTTTTTGCGTGAAAACTTGAGCCGCCCTGACCTCCAGGGCAAGACCCCCCCACCCCTCCACTCAGCACCTCCAGGGCCAGGGAGGGAGCCCACCATCTGGGAGGGAGCCCTTCCAGGGTTGGCCAGGTCTGTCAGAAAGTTCTTGCCATTGAGTCAGAGACTGTTCCTGGTGACTGTTCTGCCAGCCTGAGCTGAGCAAAATATACTGCAGCTCAAGCTGATTTCTTCCCACACCTGGAGGAGCCTTCTTTGCAGGCTTTGTTCTCGCCTGAGTTTCGCATTGATGAGAAGGGGCAGGGAGAAGGAGTGCTTAATTAAGCCCACGGAGTGCGGCATAGAGGGGAATGTCAGGTGCTGAGGAGGAGTTTTAGTGAAGCCTGAGGGTGGTGGCATTTCCTGTACCTTCAGCTTGAGGATGTGTCACCGGGAAGGTGAGTGCTGAGGAGAGGCCTGGGCAGCTCAGAGTTCTGAGCCCTGGGCCCTGGTCAGCCAGGTCTCCCTTTCTCCCGTGAGATCTTCGGCAGCCCACCATGACCCCCACATCAGGGGCTTTGCTTGACCATCAGGTGGGAGCAGTCAGGGGCTCCCTCCTCTTCACCCCTACCTGCCAGAGCCTGCCAGAAGCCCCATGTGTGGCCCCTTCCGAGCAGAGATGCTCTTTCTGCCACCTCCCTGCCTCACTGGCTGACTACAGCTCCTCATTTGAAGAAAATCTTCTATTTCCTTTTTCCACATCATTCCAGTATCATGTACCCTTTATTAGCAATATTGAAAATCAGCAAAGCATTAAAGAGAAAATAACACCACCCTGTAATCCCACAGCCCAGGCTTGGGCGTAATTCATGCTAATCCTATACATAGACATTATTTTGCATTGATGGCATTTGCATTTTGGGCTCCTGATTCCCATGTAATGTGGCTGTGTCAGAGCATTTCCCCAGGCTGCTGAAAGCCTCATAAACACCTCTCTCCCTACTGCCTGGCACTCTCCTGAGGGCAACAGCCAGAGTTAATGCTCCTCCATGCTTCTGGACAGTGAGGTTGTCTCCCTTTTTAGATACATTTTTTTGAGCAGCATGATGTTGAGCACAGTTACAGCCAAAGAATCTTCTGGTGGCTGGACGGTTTCTCCTGCAGCTTGCCCCACACCCCTCACCAGCACTGCCCATACTCCTCTTGCTCCCGTGGTTCCTTTCCACATGTGTGGTGGGTGGTCAGGACTAAGAGGGAGTGCCCACTGCCTGCCCTTACTCTTCCAAGGCACTCGACCCTCCTGGGAGGCACATGGCGCTGAGGCAGTGCCTCCCCTGCATCTGTCTTTCCTGTTGGGTCCTGTTCCACCCTCCCCAGCCAGCCCCCTTCAAGTCTGACCCCAGGCCTGGCCTGGCTCCTCAGACTGCCAGCCCCTTGCTCAGGCTCTCAGCTCACACAGCTCTGCCCTCCAGGCTTGCCCAGTCTCGGACGAACCCTCAGGTCCTGGACACTGGACTGACAGTGCAGGACGTCCACTACGCCCAGTGCCTCTCGCCTGTCGACTGGGACAAGCCTGACAGCAGCGGCCCTGAGCAGGATGACCTCTTCAGCTTCTGACAGCCTGGGGCAGCAGGACACAACCGCCTCAACATGTGACAGACCAAAGCCACCTGTGGTGGGGAAGTCTGCTCCAGGGCCCGCTGGCCACTCCCAGCCCGCAACACTGCCAGCCTGCCGGTCAGAGCTGCAGCCAGCCGAGCCGGAAAAGACGGGTTGTTTTAAACCCGCTCCTCTAGGAACCGAAAGATACCTTGAATATTTATTCAGTGACTCTGGCGTGTGCTCAGAAGCCAGCTTGCGATGAGCACATCGCCTGCTCATCGCCTGCTGCGTGGCGTGTGCAGTGCTGTAAGCAGCTCCCACTGTTTCCTCCAGCGAGTGCTGCTCCAGCCACGGGTGTCAGGACAGTGACCAAAGCAATGCTTGTCCCTTCTCTTTCTAAAGGCTGGATTTCCCCGGAGGCATCGCGCTTCTTACTGATCTTTTACAGCCTCAGGGGAGGCCAGTCCTGCTGGCTCTCAGGGCCTCTCAGACCCCACCGCTCTCAGAGATAGGGGCGGCTCCCCACCAAAGACCACCCACAGCTCGGCACTTTAAAGCACTCCTGCAGGTGCGGCCGAGGGCTCAAGTGGAACTTGCTTTCGGCCCATCCTCCTGAGAAGGAGCCCAGGTGCCTGTGGATAGTCCCTGCCAGTGCTTGGAGCCATCGTAACTGGCTGCCCCTGGCTCCCAGAGTCCACCTACAACAGTGGGATCATCTCTGTTTGCCACCCTCCGTCAGAGTGCCCACCCCTCCCGCCCCTTCCTGTAGGCAAGGTTGTGCCTCCTCTTCTGTTTTTTCTGTGTGTCTATGTCTCCAAGTCCCGCCTCCCCATACCTCGTGGGATAATGTGTGAAACCTAATGTCTAGATTCATTTAGGAGTATGTTATGGCCATTTTACAGATGAGGAAGCTAGTCCTCGAGCATGGCAGGGGTAGAGCCAAGAGTAGAACCCAGACCTGAAACCAAAGCTGCATTCTCTGCCTCCACCTCTCACAACTTGCACCTCTTTTTTCTAGCCTTGCTGTCCTCCCAGGAACCAAAAAACCCCAGCTATTTTCTGACCAAAATGTGTTTCATAACAAGCCATCTGGTGCCTTTCCACACAGAACTGGCAGGAGCCTCTGTGTCCTGCTAGCTGTCTTGCTGTTGATTTCCGTGAAAATGCAAGTGTTTAAGTCTGCTCATTCAGAGGGCGAAACAGAATCAGACTCTGTATGCATCATGCTGCTCTCTCTCCTGACACGGCGACCCTGGCTTGGGACACAAGCAGCAGCCTGTCTCTAGAATCTCTCTCTGTTCCCCGCTCTTGCCCCGTCGGGTCCCCGGCATCCCGAAGCCCAGCAAAGCTGTGAGCATCCTTTCCACCTTGAAGTGCTTCCCAGTGGCCTGGCTTGTCGGACCAAGTTTCATGAGCCCCAGAAAAGCACACAGCGTTTCTTAGACTCTACTTACCTGTGGAGTGTTTGGATCAGAGCACATTCAACAGAAGGATCTGAGGGAGGGATGGGGCTTTAAGGTCCTCATCAGCATGTGAGGGTAACTTCCCTTCCCTGCCCAGCTCTCGCCCACTCCCAATTCAGACCTCCTTGGCGTCAGCCTCTGTGTGTCATGAGGCAGCAAGGGTCGGGCCTGATGTGGGCCATCCTTGGCTCGAGGGGCTGGGGTCCTGAGCTGCTGTGTTGGTGTGGCCTCCGTCTCTGTCTCTTGTCAGTGAGCAGTGTGTGTGCTTCCTGTGTGTGTGCTGAGAGTCTTGTTGGGCTTTACTTTGTAAGGCTGCAAAGGAAGTTCTAATGAGGAAAAACTAATAAATCTTCTCTTTTTGAAATACAAACAGCATTCAGATGGAGTGGCCTGGCGGCCAGGAATGCCATGTCCAGCAGCTCCTGCCCTTTGGTGGTGGGAGCAGCAGTGACCACAGGCCTGACTAGGCCATGTGCCTGATGCAGCACCGAGAGTGGGAGATAGAGATTGAGAGGTCTCCTGGGTGCAGGCCTGGCAGGACCCCCTTCTCACCCAGCAGATGGGTGTGTGCGATGAGGTCATGACTGGATGACTCACCGAGGCCTCACCGGGGATCCAGCTTGTTGGCGCGGAAGAGGTCGCAGAACTGAGGTCTGGGGGCCATGCGTCCCCTGCAGTATGCGTGAGCCTGTGTGTGCACCCACGCAGGCTCTGCATGGGGAGGGTGTCCATCATCTCCCTCACATTGTCATTCCATCACACCTTGACATTTCTTCATTCATTCAGCAGACTTGCTCCGTGCTGAGCATGAACAGGAACTGGGCCTGGGACTCAGCACTGGGGACAGTATCCAGGCGAGGCCCTATGGACCCAGGATGTGTGGCTTCCGTGGGAAGTGTTGTAACTTGGGAGGCCCGAAGTCTGGGTCTGGCTCTGCCGCCTGGGGGCTATAATATGTGGTCAGTCACCTCTTTCCTTGAGCCTTGGTTTTCCCATCAGTGAAAAGGGTCCAGCAGTCTATCTCCCTGGGTTTTATGTGACTTCAAGGTGAACACTGTCACGTTGCTGGTAGTATACCCAGGAGGCTCACAGGCTATCTTGGAGCAAAAGGCAATCTGGACCAAACATGTTTAAGAATATCAAAGTAAAATTGATAATAGCAACTAGTGTTAACTGAGCTCTTACTGTATATGCCAAGGGCTGTGCCAATCTCTTAACTAGATCCCATAGTAGCTGTCCTGACCCGGATGGTGTCTCCCATTACTGCTGAGGGCACCAGGGCTGGGAGAGGAAGGCAGTCATGCTTCGAGTGCTTGGCAGGACCACAGCCCAGACTCAGGCCACGTCCTGGCCTCCCGGGAGCCTGCCCACTTGTGCTGCCCAAGGCCTGTTGATCTGCACAGTGAACTTCATGGGAAGGCCACTCTTTGGGTTCCCACTCCACTGTCTGGGCACTCCCCAGGCCTCTGCCCTCAACTGTGGCTCGTGGGGTTCTCCTCAGGTGTTTAGCTCTTGACCCCTTTCAACAATAGCATTTTAGATGTCTGGAACCCAGAGGTGGCCCCCTCTGATGTCAGGCAGACACCCTGTGAGCTCTGAGTGGATCAGGGATGACTAACAAATTCTCTCCTTTCTTCTCTCCCCATAATCTGAGAGGACACCCAACAAGTTCATCTTTCGGTTTAAATTTGGCCAATGTCTTTAGTCTCCGGATGTCTCAAATTATGAATCCTGAGCACCCGCCGCCTGCTCTTTCATGCATAAAGGATGAAGCGGATGAACAAAGTCGCCTTTCAGATTTGATGTGACCTTCAGCTTCGCTGGGTGGATGCTGGGGTCTCCTCTCCCGGGGAGAAAGAACACCCCAATTAAGTCTCTCCCAGGCCTTGTTGACAAGCCTGGGTGGGAATCTGGACAGATCCCATATCTGGGGGTGCTGGCCTGGCGCCTGGTCCTTACCCGGCCTTCCTCTCTCCCCCCTCCCCACGTATGGACTAGAATGGGCAGCCTGTTTGCTGACTAGGAGGCAGCCCTTGGCCCTGTTGGGTCCTTTATGCCTAACATCACTGATACATTGCACACAACTATGCTCTGATGTAGGCGGTCCTAGTCCCGCCTTCCAGATGAGGTGACTGAGGGTAAGGGAGGATAATCAGGTGGACCAAGTCTCACATCCAGTCAGAGGTGAACTGGGATTCGAATCCTGGTCTGACTCCAGAGCATACCTCCACCTGCCACGCCCCTCCATGTAGGGCCACGGGCAAACCCCAGCCAAGCTGTCCAGGTCCTGTCCTACTTGCTGGCATCCCAGCCACCATGGAACACTGGGAGCTGCTGGCCGGGGTGTCTCCACAGGCGAGGTGATGTCATAGACTGGCCAGAACAGATCCCTTCCACCCCCTTCCCAGTGGTGCCCTTGGGGGCCGCGTCTCATCACATCAGGCCCCTGTCTTGCTCCCAGCGGCATTGCCCACCCTGCTATGGGGCCAAGTGAGCATTGGTGTTCTTCAGAGGAGGAATGCCAGCCTCAGAGCAGGCAGGAAGGAGGGGGACACGTTTCTGGAACACTGGCAGCATCTGCACACCTTAGCTAGTTTAAGCTGCTGCTCACTGCCTGTGCTGGTAGGTATTATTAGCCCATCTTAGAGACAGTGACACTGAGGCCTGTGGAAGTTAGGTGATCTGCTGGCCTCACCCAGCTGCTAAGAGGCAGGCTTGGGCCTCAGAGCCTGTGTCCCATCCTCTGGGTCACTGGGACATTTGCAGAACCCAAGGACCTTGCTTAGGAGCTTCTGAACCCAGAATGGAGTAACTCAGCTGGGGCCAGCACCGGATGCTGGGGCAGCGTGGTGCCTCTGCTTCCAGCCAGGCGGATGTGGATGGTGGCAGAAGTCCTTGTGACCAGGCAGTAATTCTCACTTCACTTTCTGAGCCCCCACATGGCCCTGCTTGTGATCCCTTACAGTTCAGGGGTTATGGCTTGTGGGCCTGGGAAGCCCCTGGGCATGGGCTGGGTTTGCCTCAGTGGGACCCTGGATGTCAGAGCTGAGGAGTGGTAGCCAAGGAAGCCAGGGCAGGACCCAGAAGAAGATGTGTTCCTGCTGGAGCAAGGTCAGAATGGTTGGAGACAGCCTTCGCTAGCCTGGGAGCTCTCTGAGGCCAAGTCCATCTCACATGCCCAGGGCCCTGGGGCCCGGCATAGCACCTAACATCAGTGAGTCAGTTCAGCAGGGGAGAACCAAGAGAAGGGGCAGCCCTGGCTCAGCCTCTGCAGCCGATGGTCCCTTTGCGTGATCAGACCTGTCAAGCTCCCCTGGTTAGGTGCTCTGGGTCTCTGGCACACATGGCCCATGGCCTGGCAGGCATAGCCCAACCTGGCTTGCTGAAACACTGTGTGGTCCACCCCTCTGTTGCCACCGACGATCTCGGTTTTCAAATTCTTCAAAGCAAGATTCTAAATGTTAGTGCTACAAGGGCCCATCGCGGTTCCCCAGCCCATCTATTGTGTTTACAGCTGGCACTGAGGCCCCCGGAGGACACAGGACTCCCCAACATGCAGGGGAGAGCCAGGCCCTGAGCCACATCTGTAGGGGCTTCATGCCCAATCCCCATCGCCCTGTGAAGAAGAGACAGGAGTCCCTTCCACTCACTGGCCAGGAGCCACGTGCTTGCCGGAGCTGGGAATGTTGATGAGGAGA